GGACGGGAGTGGTAAGCTTATTACCGCTTCGCTGCAACAAAATCAGGCTACACTTCAAAACCAGACTGATCATTTAATTTTTAAATAAACTTTAAAAACCCCTGGGAGTAAGGTTCTAATGGTCTAGCCTTCCTTTGCTACTGATTGCCATCACTTGGCTTGTGCCAGCTCCTCCCCAGGAACCTGCCCTCGGGAGTGTTGATACAGCATGGCCAGACAGACAACTAGGGCCAGATTCAGAAAGGAATATAAGGAAGCGTAAACCAATGTAACTGACACCTTCTTTTGTCTCCTTGTCAGGCCACTTAGGGAGAAGGTAAAGACAGAAAAATTGATGCTATTTACTTGACTCCCCAAAAATATTCCCTGTAAGGAATAATATACCCACCCTCAGTGACCTATCGTGTTTGTTTCAGAGAGAGGAGCACAGAAACCTAAGTCATCCTCCAAATAGATGCAAAAAGCTATATTAAAAGAACACTAATGTTGCAAAGTCAAGCACTCAGAGGTTGAAAAATTCCCATATTCTGATTGATGCCACAATGTTAATTCCGTTCCATAGCGCACATGCATTATGAGACAGCCTTTAATGACATGATCACAGACTGCTTGTTCTCAGGACCCCTGTCTCATTCAGCAGTTGCAGAGAAAGTTCTACCAAGCACTTGGAGGCAGAGGGTATGGCTGAATCAGAGGCAGCAGAGCAGGATGGCAGCCGGCTCCCTACCAGCAGGGCTGCAGGCAGGAGCCAGTTTGCACCAGAAGCTGATTTAAAAGCTGGCTCCCAGCGTGCACTGGATCCCAGGGAGCTGGCTGCCACCCTATGCTGCAGGTGCATGTAACCATATAACCACTGAAAAAATGGCAGTGTTACAGTTACATGCTTTTTATCATCCCTACTATCTACACTACACACTAAACTCAAGACCTGGGTCCAGTAACTGTAAACCCAGATTTGTGATGCAGTGTGGACACTCAAGCGTGGGCTTGGAAACAACTAGCCCCCCGAACCTAGGTTTACATACTCCCAGACTGCCAGCTCCATAACTACTCTAAGTGATGTACATAATTTCAGGGCAGAGACTTCAGAGATTTCCGCCTGAGCTTCAAAGCGTGGTGACCTAGCATGGCAGCCCCCCACTCTGGAGCTAGCGTTAATGATGAAGAACAGAAGGGGAATGACCCTGAGATGCATTTGGAACTGCAGCAGAGGGAAATGAATTTGTCTGAGTTGCTCTCTTCACTTGTAAACAGCAACACCATGAAAACTACAACTCAAAATCTAATCGATGCACAAACCATTAGGTTGAAAGGTCTGGAGATGTGGAGAGAGACAGGTGGGTCCCCCAAATGCTTAACCCTGAGATTTCTGCTGATTCTATTTACATCAAAAGAGCACTGCCGTTCTCCACAAGAACTTGTAAAGCAAGTGGACACTGGGACTTACAGAACCATCACGTCTGAGGTCATGGACAATGCAGATAAGGGTCACATCTTAAATGCCCGACCTCTGCAGTCATCCTCGTCCCAGATTTTTCATTCAGTTATGCTTTTTTGTCCTCCTCAGCCTGAGACGGATATCCATGTAAAGTGACCAAAGCCTCCATTTTCTTTCCCACTAAGCTTCAGTTCTGCAGTGGCATAAGAAGCACTTTCTCTAGTGTGTTCAGATCATTTTGAATTCTGACCCTATCCTCCACTTGCAATCCCTCCCAGCTTGGTATCATCTGCAAACTTAATAATCATACTCTCTGTGGCATCACCTAAATCATTGCTGAAGATACTGAACAGAACCGGTCCCAAAACAGACCCCTGCGGAACCCCCAAGAGGATAGAATGGGGCTTCATTTTCACTGGGCACCGCTGAGTTCCACATCAAATTTGATAAACTTGCAGGTAATAAACTTGTTTTTCTGTCTGCTCCTCTGGCAAACTCAGCCTAGATCTTAGAGTCAGGCTTCCCTTCCCTCCCAGGGTCACCTGTAACAAAGCTTCTACAAGCCAAAGTGAGATTTGTGCAACCCCATCCATCCTCAGTGGGTTTTCATGGGCGTAATTGAGGGTCTAATCTGGAGACACTGAGGTTACAGGGAGAGTGGTGTCTATTGAGGGCAGGGGTGGATAAGAGCACCGTGGGGCCCCGGGCAGCAAAATTTCGCGGGGCCCCTCCTTTGACACGGTGCATGCGCGGCGCCTCAGGAAGTGCGGGGCCCGGGGCAGCCACCCTGCTCGCCCTGCCCTAAATCCGCCGCTGATTGAGGGAAAGAACTACACAACACAAACGTGTCACCAGTACTGCAGAGAAGATGGGGCTCAGTCTTCAAGGGCTCTCAGAGCACTAAGTCCTAAACTGACAGTCTCAGGCTTAGGACATGTCTACACTGCATCCAGCAGCAAGCCTCCCAGCCAAGGGCTCTGCTCGGGCACAACAGTGCCATCTGGTGAAGATGATGAGAGATGGACTTTGCGGATCTAGGGATTCCCAGACCAGAAGTGGCTGAGGGGCCACCAGGCAGCCCTTGCAGGAGGGGTAGGTGTGATGGGAGCAGCACTAGGGGAGGAATGTTGTGGGGGAAGTGCATGATATCACTGTCCCCATCTTTAGCCCCTTGAGAACTTCGGGGTGGAAAGAGGTGGAGAGCTGGGTTGACTCGATTCAGCGAGGACAGAGCTACTGTTGGTGCGGAGGATGTGAGATTCTGGTAGAGAGGAGACAGTGGAGTCTTTTGGGGATCACTGCATGGTGGCTTCTAAGAGATCTCCAGCCTGTGGTTCTGGAGTGGGCAAGAAGGAGCAAGGCACAGTTGATACATTTCTTTAAAAAGCAGCAGGTGCCCTGGCAGTGTGTTGCTCACTGTCCAATTGCCTGCAAGGACATGATCACAAGTCTTACGCAACATGGCCCCAGATGGGATGGGCAGAAGGTAGCAGAGACAGGACGCCAGTCTATAGGCTGAGTAGGACAAATTCAGACCTGGTGGATTCTGTTTCAATCAATAGACTTAGACCAGGGCTACATATGGGCCAGCACCATTAACACAGACTAAGGAAGGGAACTGTTCATTCTCAGAACATGGCTGACTAAGAGGCAATGGTCCAACAGTAGAGGAAAGTTTAGGCTAGAAATAAAGATTTTTAAGCGTAAGAGAAGTTAAGTAGAGGGTAGATGTTGAAGGCACCATCAATGCACAGAGGCAAGGAGAAGCTAGAGAGAATGACACAGGCAAGAACAGAGGTCAGTTCTGGGGGGCCCTGCTCTGAGCTGATTGGTTTGACAGTTTCAGCTAGTTAACATTTGGTTTGTAAGGTTACTATGATCCTCTGAAGGAAGAACAGGCTCCTCGGAGTGAGTTCTACTGCCTTTCTGCTCCTCCAGGTCCTCAAGAATCTTGTCTAGATCCCACTTCTCGAGATCCTGAAAGAATGAAACCAGTGGTGAGGGAAAGACCGGCACTCCTCAGAGTCACTCACCACCCACGCTTCAGACTGGAGCAGCTCTGCTGTGTGTCTCCCCCTCCCCGACCACTGCTCTGTAGAGATGGGGTACAGAAGCAGGGGGCTACCTTGACTTCAGCACTCCCCTCTTCCCTCCACACACACCCCTGCTCTGCACAGCTAACAGGAGAAGCCTGGGAACAGCTCGGCTACAGGACAGAGCAAGGTGGGTTACTGGTCCTGAGGGCCTCCGTTGGCCACCGGACCAGGGCCCTGAGATGGGGAAGCTCATCAGGGCTGGTGTCAAAGCAGCACTTTCGTCTGCAAAGCCAGGCTGGGGATGTTTACATGCCCAAGAATTTGCTGGAGGCACAACCAGGAAGGCATTTCCCCTGTCTGGAGGCTTAGCAAGGGAGCCGGGCACAGCATCTGCCTCCAGGGAGCAATATTCCCTCAAATCTTTTCTAGCCATGTGCGGATTTTTTTCCATCCATGCGTGGAATAAATTCTTCTATGTGCACCCAGGCATGTGCGCCACCAAAAGAAACCAAAAACCTGGCTGTGGGCATGCTGCTAATCAGATGGGCAGCATCTGAGTCACTGCAGCAGAAGTGGGGTACATTGGCCTCTTCCCTTCTCCTCCATGCCACTTCCCCTGGGGCCCCACACCCCGGGGTGTCCAGCAGCAAGTGTGTGGCCGTCAGGGACTGTACGGCTGTCATGGGCCACGTTCCTTCCTGGAGCAGTTCCCTCCGCTGGATGCCCACAATCCACCCGCTAATGAGCTGCATCTCTCCGGCCCTGCTTGACACAGCAAGGAGGGGCACTGCCCTGCAGCAAACATCATTTTCCTCCTCTTACTACACTGGCCACAGCGGAGCCCCCCGCGGAGTGCAGGGTTACTAAGGGAGATACCACAGGGCCAGTTTTTTTCAGGGGCTCCCTGCAGGACAGGCCTTTGATCCTCCAGCAGGGCTCCTGTGAAAGTAAGAACCTCCATAACTAGTCCTAGCTTAAACCCATAGGGCTTCCAGTAGGGGGGCAGACTGCCATGGAGGATGACGTGGGTTTTCCAAATTCTTCCCTTGCAGTAACTGATCGATGCTGCATGACCTGACAGCTCCAGGCTGACGGGTAACACTTGTACGTGCTCTTTGGAGAACCATCCCTCAGCATCATGAGTCAAGAGGGACTGGACCTGTGGGCTGCAATCTCTGTGGCTGGGGTTCCCTGGTCCAGCAACACCCATGGCTCTGCTGGACCACAGATGTTGCCGGATGAGAGTCCTGTACCAGAGAGGTTCAGCCTGTAATTAGACCTACGTATAGCTCAGCACTCATAACAACTTTATCAAAGGATCTCAATGAAAGCACAGAATTTACACGTTTGCAATAATTATGGTGTAACTGACAACCAGCTTCTTTTTAAATGCCATTGCTAAATAAATATAAACACTGATCTATCATGAATCATGTACATAATTATATTGTCGGGTCCCCCTGACACACTCTGACTCACAGGAACAAAGACTATTACAGAGTGTTTTATGAGGCCCAGCAGCAAAGGAGCTAAGAGTTGCAGGATTTGATGGATAACAAAAGAGATGACTGGGAAGAAGCCAGTCTAGGAGAGATGCCTCTTTAAGTGAGTTACTAAGGCCCCAAAACAAAGCAGAGATTTAATGGTAAGCATGAGTCGTTCCAGTGACTTCGGGGGGCTCCTCATGCCTAAAGCGAGGCACATACTTAACTGTCTTTAGAGCTGGGAATTAAATATGGACTAATTTTCAAAAGCAGGCTGTAAAACGGATGAGTCACTCCTGTGGCCAGGATGGCCATGCAATAGTCCCTGCCTCACTATTCTCCGTCAAGAGCCTTCTTCAATACTCCTTTTGTCCTTTGCAGGTTCTGTGCTATTAAACAAATATTCAAAATAAAAGTTCTCAAGTCCATCGGTTTACCCTCTTCTCAGGTCACTTCCAGGTTTTTCATTCCTGTGGTCTCATATTTCTCTGATGGAGGCTACTTGCTCACCCTCACACTAGCCTCTATACTCCACTCAGCTTCCCCACCCCCAACCTTCCTGCTGCTATTTACAGGGGAATCAGCTGATCTCTGCTCAGGTGTGACTCCATGGGGACCAGCATTGGCTGACCTCAAGTTTCTACCCCTTACGGCACAAACCACTCTCTACACACAGGCCTAAGTGGTGTTTACAAAGGGCCTGCCTCCGCTCTCTTACACCAAAGTAAAATCCACTGAGCCTGGCTCTCCTCTCACCAACGCTGGTGCAAATCAAAAGTAACTCAACTGACGTACTGGCGTAAAATGGATACTGAGGGAGAATTTCCAATAGTATGATTAAGATCAGACTTAGGCCCAAAAATACTTGGGCCAGGGTTTAGCAGGGAATTGCTGGGTCAAGCTAGGCAGCTGAGTGCACAAAAAGGCGAGTGCATGTTACAGCTTTGACCACAAAAGGGGATATGTTTTGTGAGTGCGGCTTGGACACTGATTTTTGTAACTTTGTCCTGTAAAGTTTGTGGGATGTTGGGGAATCTGTATTTTAATCCCACTGATGGCTCTGAACAGACATCCAAAGGTTCTCATGGTAGTCAGCCACCAGGCAAAGTATTTTAATCTATGAAATAAAAAACTGTTAATTTTCTGTTAGCATACAGGTGGTCGGTCTCATGAGTGCCCCATTGACCCTGGGAGCTGATAGACTGGAACAGCAGCAGCTAAGGGGAGGAGATTGGATCATGTCTCCAATCTGATCTCACTCGCAGTCATCAAACAAGACGTATCTACGCCACTGACAGTGCAGAACAACCGTATTTCATCTGCAGTTCCATGACAGCAGGTGACTGACCCCACTAATTAAGCTTCAAAAACTAGTACCCTGCTACAAGAAAGGGAAAGTTCTCAGCAGTCTTAATGCTACTGCATGGCCATCACAAGCCTACCACCTCAGCACTCTTTGCAACCAGATGGCTAGAAAGTTCACCACACATTCCATCCACATCAGAGACCCAGTGCTCGAGGTCCTTGAAATGGACATGTCCTGTTCTGATCCATGAGATTAACTTCCAACATGGTTTACTTGGACTGTGAACTCTTTAGGGCAGGGCCTGAGTGTTCGTACAGCACCAAGGACAATGGGACCTGGCCATGACTGGTGTTACTGCAGTATAAATTAATAATGACAAGGTATGTGCAGAATTAGCCATTCACGTCCTCTTATTATCGATGAACATTCTGCATCTAATGCGTTTTCCACCAGACTAGACACCTAAGCAATCACTGAAGGAAACTGTTTGCCCTGCCTACCTGCAATGAAAAGAGCGTCAGCCCCCGAGGGTGTTCAGCTGAAGTGGCTCCTTGCTCATGTTCTGCTTTAGTGATTCTCTCTAGATTGTCACTGATCATCTCCAATGGTGATTTTGGTTTGAACTTCGAATGGCCTCCATCTCCAGATGGTGCCTCTAAGGTCACCTTAGAGAGTATTTTTGTTTCTATCAGCTTTCTCCTCTCTTCACTGTTATTTGCATTTACAAAAGATGGCCCTTCGGCAGAGGGGGCTTTATTAGTCCAAAAGTCTTCAGTTTCCCTGTCTTTTCCATCGCCCAGTTCTTTCCCTCTGAGAGTTTGATCAATAGGATCTGCAAGAACTGCTCTCTGCTGGCCTGAAGTTTCTTCAGCTGCGTTAGCAAAAGCATACGTCTGTTCTCTATCCAATGGTACTTGTTCTCTTCCCATAGCGCGGGTAACGTCCATTTCTTTCCAAAGGTCTGAACATTCTAGGTCTCTATTCCAGGCCTCTCCAGGGTGCCCCACCGATTCTAACATTTGCTATAGATACAGAAAATGAACCTCAGAAGAGACAATCACACCCCTCACCAAAGCAATACAGAGACATACAATATACCAAGTAGAATGGATTGGCTGATGGAGGGTCACACGGAACGGGCATCTGAAAACTGCATGGCTCCGGTTTCATCCCGGAGATTTGTTACAAACCAGAATGAGATTCATTCTGTAAAATGCCCCGAGACCCATTGAGCCCCGTGCCTTGATAGCCTGGGTTACTGCTTCCATACAGATCCCAGCTGAACAGGGAAGCTGATACAAGAAACTGGTGTCAAAACCCTGGAGCTGGCCTGCTCCCCAGCTAGCTCTCATCCCACCAGTGAGTCTCATCCCTCCTGGTGCAATGTAATCCCTTTATCTACACATGGTTCTATGCCCAAGTCTTAACGTCATACAATGACTTCTTGATACACCCCCATTAACCAAATCCCCTCTGGGTTCTGTGTGGGGAATATGGTGACTGGAGCCATTTCACACAGTGAAAGACTGGCTAGATAATCTGCTGCACTGGCCTATAGTAAGTGCTGGGGTGATGTTTGGCTTCACAGATCATCCTGAGGGTCGGAGCTGCTCCGTGGCTGAGGGACAATGGTCTCCTGCAGACCCCGTGTTCATAGACCCCGTGCTCTACAGTGTTTCCTTAACAGATCAGTATCTCCTGCAAGCACACGTGTCCCCATCGCACTTCCTGACAAGCAGCCTGCGGCTTGCAATCTCCACCTTTCCGCTCCTACTGCAAGCCAGTCAGCATCACCTCCATCATGGAGCAGCACATGGGCAGCGGGTATGAGGGGCAGGGGAAGGCAATGCCTTCCTAAACTGCCAGCCCAGCCCCGCTCACACTCTGCCCCTAGTCCCCACCCTCCTTGAGTGTGGCACCCTCAGAGCTGGCTGGAATTCAGCCCTGACAAGGTTGGGGCCATGCCACTAATGCTCTGGGGGCTGGGAGGCTGCTCTCTCTTCACCCCTATGCGCCTGCCAGAGCCAGGGAAG